CCCGTCCACACGATTCGTGGCCCTGTAGGGCGCTCCAACCGAATGCCCAAGTGGCAGGGTTCGCATGCAGTTCCACCTTCATTTCAGCGTACCCCTTCACACGGTTTCGTGGCCCCATAGGGAGTTCCATCGAATGCCCCAGTGGCAGGTTCGCATGCAGTTTCCACCCTCATTTCGGCGAACCCTTCACACGGTTCGGGCCCCGTAGGAAGCTCCACCGAATGCCTCAGTGGCAGGGGTCGCATGCAGTTCCACCTCATTTCGGCGCACCCTTCACAACGTTCGTGGCCCCATAGGGAGCTCACCGAATGTCTCCGTTGCAGGGTTCGCACGCGTTCCACCCTCATTTCGCGCACCCCTCACACGGTTCGTGGCCCTATAGGGAGTTTCACCGATGCCTCAGTGGCAGGTGGCAGGGTTCGCATGCAGTTCCACTTCATTCATTTCGGCGCACCCGTCACACGGTTCGTGGCCCCATAGGGAGTTTCACCGAATGCCTCAGTGGCAGGGTTCGCATGCAGTTCCACCCTCATTTCGGCGAACCCTTCACACGGTTCGTGGCTCCATAGGGAGCTCCACCGAATGTCTCGGCGGCAGGGTTCGCATGCAGTTCCACCCTCATTTCGGCGCACCCGTCACACGGTTCGTGGCCCCATAGGGAGTTTCACCGAATGCCTCAGTGGCAGGGTTCGCATGCAGTTCCACCCTCATTTCGGCGAACCCTTCACACGGTTCGTGGCTCCATAGGGAGCTCCACCGAATGTCTCGGCGGCAGGGTTCGCATGCAGTTCCACCCTCATTTCGGCGCACCCGTCACACGGTTCGTGGCCCCATAGGGAGTTTCACCGAATGCCTCAGTGGCAGGGTTCGCATGCAGTTCCACCCTCATTTCGGCGAACCCTTCACACGGTTCGTGGCTCCATAGGGAGCTCCACCGAATGTCTCGGCGGCAGGGTTCGCATGCAGTTCCACCCTCATTTCGGCGCACCCGTCACATGGTTCGTGGCCCCATAGGGAGTTCCACTGAATGCATCAGCGGCAGGGTTCGCATGTGGCTCCGTCCTGTTTCGGTGCTCCTCTCACGGTTCGTGGCCCCATAGGGAGCTCCACCGAAGGCCACAATGGCAGGGTTCGCATGCAGTTCCACCCTCATCTCGGCGCACCCCTCACACGCTTCGTGGCCCCATAGGAAGTTCCGCCGAAGGCTACGGAAGGGTCCGGGGCCTTTCCAGGAGGGGGGGGGACCGTAACCAAATTTGTTTACGGTGGGGGGCGGGGAGGTCAGGGGCCTTTCCGGGGGAGGGGGGACCATAACTGCTGGGGCTCGTTCTGTCTTCGGTCCTCCTAGCACACAGGCTGCTCGGAGTTTGCGCGCCCCCCTCCTTCGTCTCATCTCCTCCGCGATACTCGCAGCTGCATGTGGTTGGGCCCTCCGGCGGACTAATTTTTATTCGTTTCCTCCAGACTCCGCCTGTAGGGGGACATGCCCGACCTAACCCTGTGCCCTCCTCCCTCCTCCCTCCGACGTTGGCGGCGGCAGGCAGGCAGTGACGGCGGCGGCGGCGGCGGCCTCGTCGTCGACGACCTCGAGCGGCGAGCCCGGCTGGCGGAGGCCCTCTGCCTCCAGAGAGCGCTCCTCCGCCCCCCCTCGCTCCCCCCGTCTCCCTTCAGTATCGTTCAACCGATCCCCATCCCCATCCCCATCCCCATCCCCATCCCCATCCCCATCCCCATCCCCATCCAGACCCCCGCCATCTCATCCCCCCAGTTGGGGATATACCTTTCGAAATCTGAGAGAAACTGCCCATGTCCCCATCTGGGGGGGCAGATCGGCCAGTGGGGCCCAGGCCACGCGAGTGGGGATAGGGATCGGTTAAACGATGCTCATCCCTCTCTTTCCTCTCCCCTTTCGGGCCCTTCCTTCTTCTGTTGCGCTGCTGCACGCCTATGTCCTCGGCTCAGACGAAGCCGGAGAGAAGACACAACTCTGGAATGGAAGCTGAGGATGCGCCCAGGAGAAACAGGAAGAAGAAAAAGGACGGCCAGAGGAGGTATGACAGAGGGGAGCGTTGAGATAGGCGCGCTTGCTTCCCCCTCGCCTCCTCCTCTGTCTTCCTCTCTTCCTTCTTTCCTCCCTTCCTCCCTCCGCCCTCCAACTCCCCCGCCTCCTCGTCTCGACTCGTTCCTCCTTCGTCCTTCTACCTGCCTCCCTCCTCCCTCCTTCCACGCTGGTGGCGACGGCGGCGTCGATGATAACAAGGGACGGGGAGGATGGTGATGATGATGATGATGGTGATGCTGCTGCTGATGATGATGAATACTTTAATAATAACGATGATGATGTTGATGATGAGGACGATGATGCTGATGGTGGCGATTGTGAAAACGATCATGACGATGATGTCAATAATAACAATTGTGATGCTGATTATTCTGAAGTTGATGGCATTGAAGTCTTGTGATGATGAACATAGCGGTGATGTTGCTGATGGTAACTATGATGATGCTGATGCTGATGACGATTATGATGCTGCTGCGGCTGATGATGCGGCTGGTGTTGTAAATGATGCTGATGATGGTGATGCGGATGATGCTGATGATGCTGCTGATGATGATGACGACGATAATGATGATGGCGACGAGGCTGATGATGATGCTGATGACGACGATGCTGATGATGCTGAGTACGATGATGATGGTGCTGTTGATGCTGTTGATGCTGATGGTGACGATGCTGGCGATGTTCATGATATTGATGATGATGCTTATGATGATGCTGATGATGCTGATGATAATAATGATACTGATGATGGTCATGATGATGACGCTGGCGATAACGATGACGATGATGACGGCGACAGCGACGATGCTAATGCTGTCGGCGATTTTGATTTTGGTGGTTATGATGCGGATGATGATGCGGATGATGCGGCTGCTGCTGCTGCTGATGCTGATGGTGATGATGACGATGATGGTGGTGATGATGGTGATGCTGATGATGCTGATGATGATGAAGATGATTGTGGTGGTGGTGGTGATGATGAGGATGCTGATCATCATGATCATGACGGTGATGGTGATGAATCTGATGATGAGGAGGAGACCGAGGAGGAGGAGGAGGAGGAGGAGGAGGAGGAGGAGGAGGGGGGGGGGGGAGGACGTTTTTGTCTTGGGTGTGAGAGGCGCTTTGGAGGGAGGAGGGTGGATGACGAGGACGGCGACGACGACGAAGACGATCACCACGACGACGAGGACGAGGAGGAGAAGGAGGACGAGGAAGAGGAGGAGGACGAGGAGGACGAGGCCAGGAACGAGGACGACGACGAGGATGACGACGACGACGAGGTCGACGACGATGACGACGACGCTGAGGTCGACGACGACGACGACGACGACGACGACGACGGCGGCGGCGGCGGCGATCTCTCCGAGCGGCGAGCCCGGCCGGCGGAGGCCGTCCGCCTTCGCTGGGCGTTCCTCAGCTCCCCCACCGCATCAAGGCACGGGAGCAGGCGGCCAAAGTGTCCTCTTGCTGATGCTGCTGCTGCTGCTGCTGCTGTGTTTTCGTTTTTTCAGCTATGGTCTGCCTTGGGGCCTTCGAGGAAAAGCTTCCCCACCTCCTCCCTGCCTCCTCGATCTCCGACCTTCGATGACGACGACGACGACGATGCCGACTGATCTTGCGGCGACGACGACCTACGGCGGCGGTTGCCTTCCACCAGCAGAGGGCATGCCTCCCTTCTTCCCTCCAGTGGCTCGAGTCCGAGAGTGAGGCACGTCTTTTGTGTTGCTCTCGCAGGTTTCGCATTGCCGTGGCTTTCTCTGGAACGGCCCAGCCTTCCGTGTCGCTACTTTTCTTTCAGCTGGTCGACCTCGTGCTTCAGGATGCGCCCAAGATGTCATTACCACAGAAACGACGTCTCGGGCTTGAACGTGCAGCTGTTCGTCGAGAGAGCTACGGCACGAATGCACCCGTGGCTGGAACGCGTGTGTTGGAGCATTTAATCAAGGATCGAGTGAATGACAAACTTCACGGCGTTTGTTGAAGTTTGGGGCAGATTTATATTGGTAATCCAGTCCATGCAGTTGTTCCCAACAACTCATCACACAAGTGGCCACAGTGGGATGCTGCAGCTTTCGAATCACATGTCGAAGCTCCATAACCGAGCAATGCCACATACTTCGCACATCGAACGGGGCAAGGGGTGCGAGAGCCACTGGGACCAGAGCATAAGCAGCATCACGAGCGCGACTTATCATTTAAGAAACGCATCTCTGCATCATGCATTCAGCCACGGCGGCGGGAACGCAACACGGCAGGCGGCTGCGATGACGCGATGCCACGGACGTGGAAACCGAAACGCGTCATAGTAGCCAAGCGATTTCGGTAAAGTTGGCACTCATTTGTCCCAAGGACAGTCAACGGAATATCAGATGTGGTGACTGTCGTCGTTCCCCGACAGCTCGCAAAAAGGCTGCTGTGAATTTTGTGGCTTGACGTTCGAGACAAACTGGGACACTGCGAAAATTCATTGCGATCTGGGAGCCACTGTTGCCATAACCACCACGTTGGTGCATCTTTTGTGGGAGGTGGTTAAGCGAGGCAGATTTATCCAAACCGTGGGTCCCTGACGTAGGTGTTTGTTGGCGTCGCGGCAGAACGACACATTAGATTCGGGGCATCGCATGCACGCGTATCTCCAGTAGCCCTGGCGCGTCAAGCACTAGTTACTTTACGTGAGGCTGCGGCCTCCCGCGCAAGCCGGTAACGGCCCGGCCCGCCGCCTCTGGCGGGATGTCTCCGCGCGTCCGTCCGTCCGTCCTTCCAGCCTTCCTCCCTTCTTTCGCGCTGGCGACCGCTGCGGCGAGAACGGGGACGTGAACGACGACGACCACGACGACGACCACGACGACGACGACGACCTGCCGCGGCGGCGGCGGCGACGACCACGACGACCACGACGACGGCGACCACGACGACGTCTTCGACGCCCGCGCAGGCCTTCCGCCTGCACAGCGCCTCCCTCGAGGAGCAGGCGCTCCACCGCCAGGGCTGCCGCCGCGCCGCCCAGGACCACCGGGCTGCGCCCCCTGCGCGGCGCGCCCGCGGCCAACGCCGAGGCCGACGGCGGCGACGCTGCCGACAGCGACGACGACGCCGACGACGCCCACGACGCCTCCGCCGCCGACGCCGAGCGTCGTCGTCGTCGTGGTCGTCGTCGTCGTCGTCGTCGTCGTCGTCGTTGTCGGCGTCGTCGCCGTCGTCCGTGTCGGCGTCTGGTGTCGGCGGACAAGGA